AAAGCCAGATGAAGAAGGGTTTACACTGGCTCATAGTTTACCATGACAGTGGAGGTGGCTCCAGTGTGGCAGCAGGAGTTCTTCCCAAGGTCAGGAAGCAGAGACACTCTCCTTTCTACTCTTTTATTCATTTGGGAACCCCAGCCCACACTCAGGCTAGGTCTTCTCTCTACAGAGTTAAATCTCTCTAAAATATCCTCACAGACACACCCAGAGGGTGCCTCCTCTGGGATGTAAATCCAATTAAGCTGACAATGAGGAAGCACCACTACAGAAACCATCGCTCTTACTTTCATCTCCTTACTCTGACATGCTGTGCTTTCTCCCGTCCCCAGTTTTTGATTATTCTTACATGAGACTAGAAGTGCTTCACTCTCACGCACTCTACCTGGGTTCACTAGCTCCCTGTATCTGCAGATGACGTTTATCTCTTCAAATACTCACTTTGCCCCTTTCTTTTTCTCTTTCTGAGTCACCCTGCAGACACATTAGACTATGACATTTTCTCCTAGGTTTCAAATATTCTGTTCATTTTCCCCTTATTTCCTCCCTATATTTCAGCTTAGGTAGTTTCCACTGAGCTGTCTTCAAATTCTCTAATCTCTTTCCCAAGGCTTTACAATATCTGGTACGAGAAACTAAGGTGATCAGGAAATACTCAGCACTTGGGAAGACTTTTAAACAAGCAATGCAATAGCCTGTCACAGCATGGCTGGTGAGGCTGTGGGACATGGAGCACATGGGATCAGTCTGACTATTGTAAAGACAGAAAAACTGACTCAGGTAACTACCCATCCCCCTTTAAGGCAAAGGCTGCACACCTGTACAGTATGAGGGAAGTTGTCCCTGAGGGACTAGCTTACCAAAGCCATCAGAAACACTTGGTTATCCCCATCTAAAGTCCCCATAAATATCAGGAGTTACAGGACCAGAGAGGAGGGGCAGGTGCTATTGAGGGAACTAAGAATAACAGAAACTTTGTTTGAACCCCAGCTCACTGGACCAGACAGAAGTGTGTCCACAGAGAAGTTAAAGAAAAAGTTGACCCAGCATGGACCTCCAGGCTGTCACGGAAGCTTTAGTGGTTTTGCTGAGCCCTTTGGTGTAGGGCAAAATCTTTATGAAGTAGGAAAAGCTTTGGCAGATCTTAGTGACTTAGACCAGCATGTAAAGAGTGTCCATAAAGTGAGAGCAACCTAGAGATGAGAAAACAGTAAAGCAGAAGAGGTCTGTTTGGGCTACTCCAAGACAAATGTGGCAGGATTTATGTCAAGCTGGGGTTCTTAGGAAGTATTGGTAGAAAGCCAAATTTTGTGCTAAGGAGCTTCAGGAAGCTTTAAAGCCCAAAGAGCAGTCCAGAGAAGACAGAACAATACAGATGAAGATAATCAAGTATGTTCCATGGGTGAGTGATCATACCCTCAGACTCAGGGACATTTTCCTCCAGCAAAAGGTTATGCTAGGAGTGTAGACAGTTTGCCCATTTTGGAACTCCCCAAACATTGCCAGGTGTTTTGAATGGGGAGCCCAACAGCTACATCTGCATTCACAGTATCAACCCAGGTCCTATCTGACCCAGGAAACCAAAAGATACAGCAGGGGAGAGCAAAACCACAGTTCCCTTTGGCGTTGGGTGGTAGGCGTAAGCAGATTAAGTCAGGCCCACTGAGTTTATCTGGTGTAGAGAAATACAGGCAGGCTCAGTGGAAGACCTCCAGGAAATGAAAGTGTAACAGCTCACAGTGAGGGTCTGATAATGAAGAACTAATTAAGTCAGCACCTCCAATCCATGCTTCGTATCCAGTTTTGATCTGTGGAGGAAGCAACTGATACAAATCCATGCTGGATTAGAAGCTGCTTATGTTCTCCATTAGTATCTTCTTAGTTGCAAACTTCTAGGGTCAGCTGATACTGGCTCAGAACAGATGACAAAGCACTTTGATGGTGCTTGCCCAAGGTTATCTGTGTAACCCGCTATTTGTTATGGAATGGTAGTTCAGCATGTTGCCTTGTCCTGCCTGCCCATCCTCTGGAGAAGGTTTTGTTTTACAGGTGATACAGTGCTGACCTCTGAGTGTTCTGCAGATTTGGAAAGCCAATAGAGAGACAACCAGGTGCTTCCACCCACCTTACAACCCTACCAAGGCTGGGTTAACTGAAAGGGAAACAAAGCCAAAAGGAACCCTACATAGGTGAAAATGGACACTCCCAGAATCCATCATGTTACTGAATGAAAACCCCAGTGGCAGGGTGGGCTACCTCCCTGTGAGGTGCTGGCTAGGAGAGCCCCTGAGACCCCACAAACCATAAAGGTTATGGTTCCTGCTGTTGGCTGTATTCCAGAACTAGATGGTAAGACCCCAGTGCTGAAGACAATGCATGTACATGCTTTGACTATAGGAATGGAAAAACTAAGCTGAAACTGAACAGGAAACTTCCACCCTGATGGCTGGCTTTCACAATGCCAGAAGGGGCCAGGCAGGCTGCTGGTGGACAACTGTCACCAACATTCCTGCTGAGCTACAGACCCTAGGTGTTGAAATAACAATATGGCAGGTAGGGTGAGCCAGCTTGTGCAATAGTGGCTCAGCTACTGTGGGTAAGACCAACGCCTTCCAACTGACTTAAAACCCACTCACAAGAGCAAGTCCACATCCCATACAGTAAGCCAGGACAAAATCTATAGCTAGAGAAGTCATAGGTCCCAGTAAGGAAGCAAGTCCTATGGTTTTTCTAGATGAATGTGATGTGTCTGTCGAACTGCCTTCTAAACAAGTGTGTTTATAGATCACTGTTGTTGTGCACTTCAACTCATAACCACTGGTGGAGTTCCTGAGAACAAGTGACTACTACTGTGACATGGTAGCCTATTTCTTAGTCACAGTGGAGATCTATACTCACCCTCCAAGGCTCAGAGGTCATTATGGAGGGAATGGAAGAATGTTAGAGCCAAAGGAAGAGGTGGAATGTTGTCTAACAGTCTCCTCCAATAGGGAAACATCCCCATCCTGCAGGGAAGCTCCTTAAGCAAGAAGGTAAATAATTCAAAATGGCTTTAGGAAGTTCCTGAAAATGACCAGATTCACTAGGCCCACTCTCTGCCAGATTAAATAATGAGAACAGAGCTACAAAGAAGACTCAAGACAATCTGAGCTACAGAGAAGACTCTCAGAAGAGAAAAGCTACAAAGAAATATCTGAGACCAACCAGCTACCTGGAAGAAACAGAGATCAGCAGAGATGCCTGCAGAGGTTTAGAGCAGAGTCACTTGAAAAGGACACTCTCCAACCTATTGAGCTGCCTTCGGCCTATGTAAGGTGTTCCAGGTTTCCCAGCTTGTGTGAGCTGTCAGCCCTGCTGGGTAGGCCCTGATGATGCAGCTGTCTTTGAGTCATTTCTGCTCCTATAAGTAACTTCCCATCCATTATCCCCTAAAACTCATTCATTTACCAAATTGGACGTTGGTGGCATCTGTATTTTGGTCTGTCCTGAGTTCCCTATCTGGGGTGAATAGATGTGTGTGTTATGTCTCATCAGGAAAAGTTTTGTCACACAACAGTTCAAAGAATCACTGCCACATAACACTATTAGCCTGGGTTTTAGGTTGTTACAAAAGAGTTGTCTGTAAACTACATTAGATGTGGTCAAGGATAAGACTTTGCTCTTTAGTAAGTTGTCTACTGTCAATGTACATTACTTAAATCATTACAATAATTCTGACAGATAAATTACTTCACAGTTAAGGAAACTAAGTTCTAGAGATGTTAAGCAGTTTAAGTCACAAGAGCCAGTTACCTCCAGGATCAAATTCTAGCCAGATGTATCACATCTGAAAATATAACAATTCTATCTATACTGTTTAAATATGTATTCAAAGTTAAAAGAATGGGAAACTGTCAGATTACTAGACCTGGTTCCAAAAGTTATAAAAGCTGTAAAGTCAGTCTCAATTACCAAAAAGCACCCCATGAAAAAATGCCATCTGCCATAATCAGACAAGGTAACCTATGGTGAAAGTGTTACTAAAGTCACTATAAACTAACTTCAACATGGGGATCATCAGGGAATCTGTTTCTAATACTCTATCTTCATTAAAGTCACACTCTTCTTACCTTTGTCCATTTTGATTACTAAATTCAAGTACTGCTTATAAAAGTATAGTATAGACTGACATAAAATAATACTTAAAATGAGAAAATAGCAAGTACTTTCTGTTATGAGAAGCCAGTAGCTAACCTAGGACTCCGCTGTTTGGGTTTTAATCAAATCCAGCATGCGATATTCACTACTGATCTGAAATACAGATTATTAAGCTTCCCTTCTCAGCAATGCTTTGCTACTCAACTAGTTGTTAACAGATCAAATGAGAAATCTATTTTAAAATGAAGCCATAACTGGCCAGGTAGTAGTGCACGCCTGCAATCCCAGCATTACGGAGGCTGAGGCAAGAGAGGCCAACTTGGAGAGATCCTGTCTGTAAGTTAAAAGGGAAAGCATAGCCATTTGGGGTGATGATGCTTCTTTGTTCCAAGTCTGCTATCCCTTAAAAGATCCCTACCATCTTCTTGTCCTCCCTCTAAGCCTCTAGGACTGCTACAGTATGGTATTACTTACTGCTAAGTCCACATGTAACTCACACTTACACATCGACCTTGGGCAAATCAATTTAATATTTCAATATTCTCTCTTATAAAAATACAAGATATACAAGATGATTCTTAATGTCCCTCCTAGCCATCATGTTCAAACATCTGTACAACTTATGATCTATAATAATTTTTGTTCAGTATCAGTTTGTAGGTATATTATCAATAATCACTATATATACACATATGTATAAATACATTAAGGTAAAAAATTATGTTACCTGAATTTCTTTTTAATGGAAAACATCAAACTTATCTGTAAAGAAAGTGCTTTCCTAAAAATATCCATAAAGGAAATAAATTCTAAGGTGCATTAACTTGTAAACAGAAACCAACTCAGTTTAGAGTACTTACCCATCCTCACTTTCTTTCAGTAAGCGACTAGCAATTCGAATCAGCATACAGTATGCAAACTGTGATTTGAGACCACATTTGGTGAACTTATTTAACATCTTGGAGACAGCAAGCCGATCATTCTTCCTAAGGTGATACAGCACTCCCAATGCATGGTACTAAGAACAAGGAAAAGTGCACCATGAGCTGAGGACAATGACAAGCCACCTACAGGAAGGACAAACGCATGGAACTAGACAAAAGATTTTCAAACAAAAGATATTCAAGTCAAATGGAATTACACACAGGGAACACTGAAAGAGTCTAATTGACTTCAGAAGTTGTAAATTCACAGAAGACAAGTAAGAAAAGGGTTGCATACCACCTGAAGATAAATCTAGTGGATTCAGCACTGGCTCACACCCTCAGCTTCACAGATGATTCATTTATAAACAGGGTTTTAGTGTATTCCCCAGACTCGTCTCAAACTCACAAGCTCAAGTGGTCCTCCTACCTCAGCCTCCTGAGAGCTGTGACTACAAGCGCAAGCCACTATACCTGGTTCAAGGCCCCTTAAAGTGGTTTAAATCTGTCGCCACCTTAGCAAAGGATTCATCTCCTAAAGTAGGCTAGCACAGTATCACCATGCTGACACTGTGTATAAAAGTACAGTGATCTCAATTTGGCCAAAAGATGTCTTCAAATAGAAAAGTGACTGCTTTTCACATAGAAGCTGCAAACATTAAAACTTTCTCAAACATATACAGAGATTTCATATAAAACTATAAAACTGCCAATTAAAAATTTGATCATATTCCTTTTGATAAGAATAGCCTAATACATATCTTAAGATCTTTTTGATAAGATTTCTTAATGTTTTATACGTAAAAATGACTATTTTTATAATATCTATTATCAATGCCTAAGAAACAGAGTTTCATTTTACACAAATTATTTTCAAATAAAAGTTTGGAATGTTTTGTGAGTCCCTCTGGAATAAGCGTGTCTATCTACTATTGAAACGAGGGTCCCCCCTGAAGGTCATCAATCTTGTGCTAAACACTTGAAAGCTGATGGAAATCATCAAAATTAGTAAGACACCTACTTGATAATATGACTAATAAGTAGATTAATAAGTCAAAAAACTGCCTTTAATGTTGGATAATCAATACTTCATCCTGAAACATAAAGTGACAAGATTCAAAGATAGTACCTGCACCATGATATTGTCACTTGACGCAGCTTCTTGGGCTTCATTTATCCATCGTTTAACCACATCATAGCTTATCTTCATCATGTGCTAATGAGGAAAAAAGAATATACAATGCATGATCATTAGACATTAGAAATGTGAGTTAAATTTCTTGTAAAACTACTAAAAGACATTTCCCAAATACTGAAAATATTGCTGCCTTTTAAGTCTATGATGTCTCCATTCCTAGGGCAACTGTAAACTGTAATTTTTTTTTCTTCAATATCTCTTTGCAAAGAAATAGACACCTAAACCTTTGTGAGCTAGAAGAGGTAAGCAAAAGAGAGCAACAAAAGGGAAAAAACAGAAGCACCAAACAGAATGGTATTTAAATAATGTTAATAAAAGCTTTACTTCAGGAAACCTCTGGAAGAAAGAGTACAACATACTCCTTGAACTAAAACCTGATCCACGACACCCCAGAATCAGGCAGTCTGTGATTTCACAGTTCTAATGGCTTGTATGCACATGTGAAGTGTAAGTAGGTGTCTATTCATGGGGTGGAGTGCTGGGGGTGGGTGTGCACAGTACAGAAGCTAGAGGTCAGACTACTTGTTTTTGGAAGCAAGAATCTCACTGGGACCTGGGCCTGACAATTGTCTGGGCGGGCTAGCTGCTGAGCTCTAGGACTCTGCCTCTCTTCACCTCCCTAGAGCTGGGATTACAAGCATGTGCCACCCCATGTGTGTATTTTAATGTGGGTTCTGAGACTCTAACTCAAGTCCTTATGCTTACTGGCAAGCATTTTATCAACCAAGCAGTCTCCCTGGTCACATATTTCTTGATTTTAATCAAATGCAATATGAAAAGTTACAATGGATAATTCTGTTTTGATGAAAAGAGAAAGGAAAAAAGCTATTATTGAAACAAAAGGTCACTTCTTACAAGGAAATTCAAGAAGTGGTAAGAGAGACGTTACAGGATATAGACAGATATGGGAAACCAAGGGGAGCTAAGGACAAAGAGGCATGAGGTAAACATCTGAGGCACAAAGAAAGAACGTAAAAAACAAGCTCTGTTTCTTCCCTGCCCATTACTCTTATCTTACTCACCACCTTCAGTAGGTACATAATTCTCAGATCCCCAAAGCTTCCAAACATGGAAAGTTCAAGTTTTATTGCCCATTAAAACTATTCAGTGTTCTTCCAAATAAAACATAGTTGGATAAAGTAACAGGATGTACACACATTTTTAAGTTTCTCTTGTGAGAGAACAATAGTGATAATTTATTTTTTAACTAGAAACTAGACCATGCATAAGAAACAAACAGCTGCCATATCACTTACTAAGGAAGATACAAGTGCTGAACTGGATACACTGGAGACTTTATCCACAATGGCCTGCTTCATATATCTTTCAATAGCTTGCAACATTGTTCCCTAATAATATTCAAAAAGAAAAGTTATTAAAACCATTCATGCAAAATTACTACCCACAAAAAAATGTACAAACACTGGCCATATATGTGTTCTGTATAAATATTCATTTTGCAGTAAAAGATTGTATATAGTAATAGTATCCTAGAGAGCAGAATTCAAATAATCCAGTACAAGCTACACACACACACACACACACACACACACACACACACACAGCCTGTGTGTAAGTCCAAGGCCAGCCTGAGCAAAGTAGTTAGATTCTGTCTTATCTGGGGAGGGGGAGAGAAAGATTCCTATATGGGGGCAGAAGCTCCATTTGAAATCTTGAAGATGGTTAGATAATTCTATATGAAAAGTGCATGTTCTATATCTTGAACAAACCTACACATCAAGTGTAATTTCTGATTATTTTAAGACATAGGTAATTAAATGTGTAATATCCTACTATAGCAAGCCCTCAGCATGGAGTCTTCTGGAAGTAAGATTCTTTTAAACACTGACATGAAAAAAGCTTTTTGTCTTTGAAGGGTAGTGACAGATACAAATGAGTAAACATATTGAGACCAATATGGAGATTAAAAAGAACTTTATTGCTAGCAATAATATTTTCAAGTCCTAAGAATTTAATACTAAAAAGAAACCATAACAAAATAATAGGATAGCAAAAATAAATCAAGCTGTTTATTTCTTCTAGGATTTCCAACTTGATCTGGATCAAATTATAAAATGCATACCAAGTATGGTGATAGACACCTTTAATTTTTAGCACTCAGGAGGCTGAGGCAGAAGAATTATGACTTCAAGGCCAGTCTGAGCTATGTAGCAAGTTAACGGTCCTGTCTCAAAAGAAAGTATAAACCTTGAGAAGATTGGAACACACAGAGATACACCTGATAGCATAAACCTGCATCGATTCATCCAATTTGCTTGGTAATCCTTCCTACTTCAGAGTTTCTAGAAGAAAGACTCTAGAGAGTCTATATACTCTCACCTCTCTACATAGAGCAAAGTAGACCAGAATAAACAAATGACCCAGGCCAGATAGACAGAGTCTACCGGCTTTCTGGTGACTAATCACATATCTGTATCTGCGTCACTGTTAAGTGATGGACAACCACGGTGACTAAGGGAAATCTCACTGATGATTTCCTGACAGATAACTTGTCTCTGCTTTTGTAACGTTTTGTTTTTTGGGTTTTTCGAGACAGGGTTTCTCTGTGTAGCTTTGGAGCCTATCCTGGCACTCGCTCTGGAGACCAGGCTGGCCTCGAACTCACAGAGCCCCCCCTGCCTCTGCCTCCCGAGTGCTGGGATTAAAGTCGCGCGCCACCAACACCTGGCCTGCTTTCGTAACTTGTTAAAGGTTTTCCTCAGATTCTGAAAGATCTGAGCCCTACAAAAAAGTTTCCATAAAAAGCAAATATGGAATGGTTTTTGTTTTCTTTGTATGATATACCCATGTATAACAAACAGTTCATGAGCGCAAACAGAAAAAACAGACTACTCTTTAAAAAAAAAAAAAAGGAAAAACAAGCTGATGGGGAAAACACTGGAGTTAAAAACCTCTCTTGTAGCCAGGTGTTGGTGGCGCACGCCTTTAATCCTAGCACTCAGGAGACAGAGGCAGGCAGATCTCTATGAGTTCCAAGGCCAGACTGGTCTACAGAGTGAGTTCCAGGACAGGTGCAAAACAATACAGAGAAACCCTGTCTCAAAAAACAAAAAACAAACAAACAAACAAACAAAAAACCTCTTTTGTGGTCGCCTTTCTTCACACTGAAGATTCACCAAGTCAGACTTGGGGGGTCCTACTAGATCTCATGCTACCTACCAATTGTTTCCTTTAGCAACCCAATAAAACAAAGAGAACTTACATCTGTGATTCTGCAGAGAGCCCTGATGGCTGGGCCCCGGTACACATCTTCTTTTCCAGTCATGTCCTTTGTCAGACTAAAAGACAAATTGGTTAGCATGAGTTTAATCAAAACGTTCTCTCTCTAGAGTCCACTTCTAACCCATTACTTCATAATGACTTTACCACTACTAGTAGTTCATAAATACTGCCCTGAAAGACAAATTCCAGTAGGGTGAAAAAGAAAAATTAACCACACAAACAAATGAAAAAAATTTCAAATTATAAATACAGATAATAAATAATGATGGTGATAATAATGACAATGTGATAGAAAGCCCTAGGCTGAAATCCCCCCAAATCCTAAAAAGCCATCAGACTAGAGAAACTTCGTATATGAAATTCACATATAATACTCTCCTTCACTCCCTTTTACCTCCTTCTCAGCCACAGGTTCCTAAACTGACAACCATCAACGACTTCAGCTCTTTCTGCCACGCTTCAGAAATAGGCAGATGCAACTCCATGTCACACTTTAAAAGGCAGCTAGCCTGTCTTCCTCCCTTCTCACATCCTCTACCCATCTGTATACTCCCAAATTGGCAATCAAACTCCTGCCCAACTCCTTGCTCAACTCCTCTCACGTAATCTAAAACAGACACAAGTGACTCAATCATCAGCAGAAAGTATGAAACTGAGTGAGAGCCCACTCACTGTTTACTCTTTAAATTATAAAAGTATTATAAAAGTAACTAGTTTAACAAAATTTTCTAAATATTAAAAATGAAAAATAAATGTAACACTTGTCTCCTCACCTTCTAAACCTTCAATGCCACTTAACTGGGAGTAACTGGAGCTTCTTAGTAAGGAAGTTACTAGCACTAAACACAACAATGAGATTTATTAAAATGCTCACCCTGGAATGTTGACCTTTCCTATTTTACTTAACGGTGTAATGAGAAGCTTTCTAGGTCCTTGCTACTTTCTTTTCAAAACAATATTCTATTTCTTCTTACCAAGTAACTGTACTAGTTAACATTCTAAAACAATGGTAATATTAGGTATTTTACCCTGCTTAATGCTTTCCATTAAATTAACTGCAATACTGTCATTTAGGGAGTCAGGCTCAGGACCCCGAACTCACTTTACCACTAAGTTGTATCCCCAGCTTTAAGTTTATGACATACTTTAATTGCCAACGCATTCTTCACCTTTCTGCTTCTCAACGTCTTAAAAAAAAGTCATTGAATTTTGACAAATGCTGTTTGGATATATAATCATCAGGTTTTTGCCTTTAATACTAACCCAAGACAGTACATGAAGGGAATTCCGTGTGTTAAGGAATTGATAAGAGGTGGCCTGCGTTCAATCCCTGGGATCCACATGGTGGAAGGGGACAGCCTACTTCAGAAAGTTGTCCTCTGACACCCATAAATGTACTATTTTGTGTGTATGCCCACACATCTATAGACACACATAATTTAAAAATTGATAGAACTTCCTTATTGTGATGAATTTTATTTATGTAAAATGCTTTTATTAGAAATATAGAATACTGTCCTGCAGATATGAAATATTATAATCTTTTTTTGTTTTGTTTTGTTTTTTCGAAACAGGGTTTCTCTGTGGCTTTGGAGACTGTCCTGGAACTAGCTCTTATAAACCAGGCTAGTCTCGAACTCACAGAGATCCACCTGCCTCTGCCTCCTGAGTGCTGGGATTAAAAGTGAGCGCCACCACCGTCCTGCTATAATCTATTATAATCTCACTAAGTAGCCCAGGGTAGATTCAAATTCGTGGTCGTCTAGTCTGTGCTTCCCTAGTGCTGATATTGCTGTCATGTGCCATTATGCCTGGCCTAAGAACACAGTTCGCCTGCTCTTGCCTCCCGAGTGCCAGAACTAAAGGTGATTGCCAGCACCCGAATACAAAAGTTTTAATTAAACTGAGGGTGGTGGCTCATACTTTAATACTAGTAACTGGGAGGCAAAGGCAGGCAGTTCTCAGTTCAAGATGGGCATGATCTATAAAATGAGTTCCAGACCAGCTATCCAGGACTACAATGAGACCCTGTTTCAAAACAAAACACCTGTTAAAAGGAATTCATTTCTACAGTTACAGTCTGTTTAAATTTTGTGTCTCGAATTATTCCACTGTATCTCTTCCAGATCCTCAATGTATTTCTGTAGTCCTACCTACTATATATCATACAGAGGCTATAAAGATTCAGATAGGTAAATCATAGTTCAACATAGATGAATAAAATAACATGGAGTATGGAGCATGGAGAAAATGTATTTTGGTTTCCTTATCATAATAAAACAGAAACTGACAGAACCTGAAGTCGAATTTTGGAATGCTGTTTTTTCTCAAAGTGAATTTCAGAAAGAAGCTAAGAAAGCATTGATAACTACAGCATTAAAAATGTAAAACCTGGAGTATGAGCATCTATGCTCATTTTGATTGGGGATTTTATTGTCAAACCATATGTTAAGCTCTAAGTACTGAAACTGCACCATTAAATCACATTTTTCCTCTTAAAAACAACAAAAATAGGTTTGTCTCTTCTAGAGACAATTTTGTTAATTTTATTTTCATAGAAACTCACTTCTTTCAAACACATTCCAAACTTAATTGGATTAACGTTTTTAAAATATTCTCACAACAATTTCTTTACTTCTTAAATAGTTCTCATTATTTCTCTTTTGTTCTAATTTTATGCGGCATTTCTTTTCCGAATTAAGCTTATTTCAGCCATTTAAAAAATAGCTCTTTGGTTTATGTTAGTTTTCCGTGTTACATTTTCTAGTTTCTGCTTTATCATGAGCAATTTCTTCCTTCTGCTTATTTACACTTTTTTTTTTCTAATTTCTTAAGTAGAACATTTACTTCATGGGGCTTCATTGTTTTTCTCATTGAAGTGGGTACGACAGGTAGAGCACTTCTACCCAGACCGCTATTATGCTGCCCATTTCTGACTAGAAAACCGACTCCAGGTTCCCAGACAACAGCTAGAGCACAGACAGAGCCAAGCAGACTTGTCAACTCGACTAGTAGGCAAAGCACAGGCTGGTAAGGTCCTGAGTCCAAAGCTACTGCTGTGCCTGGTGCGGCTGCCATGCACATGCACCCTGAGTGTACCCAGTGTTCATTAGATGGCAGGGACAACAGCTGCTGGAGAAGTTGTGGATGTCCTCTCTCTGACTCTGTGGGAGGCACGCTTAGCTTTCTAAACTTTCAGGGACAGCCATCTGTAAACTAGATCCTACTGTCAACTATAGGAAGCCCTCAACCACACATTTACTACATAACTTATAGGCTAGTAAGTATGAAATTTTTGAGCACAGCTTTATTATTCATTGTTCTTTTATTTTCTAAATAAATTTACAGTCTGATTACACTGTAATGAGAAAATACATTTTCCATTTTCTGAAATTAAAGGTTTCCAGGGCCTAAATGCATGCAGAATATTTTTTAATTATTTCAAAAATACATGTAAATGTGACTTTTCTATTATAAAGGTGCAATTTTGTAAATATTAATCTTAATAAAATATATTATTTAAATTTCTATTTGCTTTTATCTTTTTTATTATGAGACTGATAATATTTCGCTTCTATTTGTATTTATTATGCTTTTGGTTTATATCCTTTGATTAAATAATTCACTACCATTTTGTCCTCATTTTTCATAATCAAAAAGTACTTCTTTTGTCTCATTCAAAACTTTTTTACACGGAAACCAGTTTCCTAATAGGAACAGAGTGACTTGAGCTTCTTTCAGAGCTATTTGGCTCATGTTTCTGCCTATTCTTCTACATTCAGATTTTATTTTGTATTTCATAGATCACAATGTCTAACAGTTTGTTGGGGTTTTGTTTTATTTGTTGCTTCTCCTGTTGCTGGGGTGTTTTGAGACAGGTTCCTCTATATAGTCCAGGCTGGCCTTGAAACTGCAATGTTCTTGCCTACACTTCCTAAGTGCTAAGGTGAGAGAGGTCCATCACCACACCTGGTAGTATTTGACCTCTGTATCTCTTTTAACAGACTACATGGAGGGTTAATCACATCCAGTCATTGTGTAGCAACTTTATTTTGAATTCTATGTTTGTTCTTTATAAGGCAATGCTCTACAAGAGACTTTTCACAGTGATGGGAATATTCTACATCATTGAATATATTATCAGTAGGTTCTGTGTTGTTACTGAGCACTCTCAATACAAGGGAGGAACTAAAGAACTGAGTTTTAAGTTTAAGTTCCTCTGGGAAAGAGCCCCTGTGTCCCAGCCAGCATCCACTGCCATTTCTCGGTTGGAAACATCCCCATTACTACATCAACACTGGACCTTCAGCCCCATCTATACCTCCAACGGGAGGATCGTCCACCAGAGCTGTAGCCCCACCTGCACCTCAAGGAGTGACCACCTGAGCATTGAGCCACTGCCACCAGGAGGAGTGTTCACCGGAAGCTCTGATCTATTTGTACCTGAAGGAGCGGTCAACGGAGCCACAGCCCCCAACTACAGCAACTGGAGAGAGAGAACCCCAGAAGCACAAGCTCCACCTACACCGATTTGAGGAAGAGGTGCACAGAGAGCAAGGTAAGAACACACTCAATTATATAAAGAGCAATATGGCACCACTAGACACTAGTGATGCTACAACAGCAAGACCTGAACATCCCAACACAGAAGAAGCAGAGGAAACGACCTAAAAATAACTTTATGAGGATGACTGAGGCCCTTAAAGAGGAAACAAAAAACTCTCTTAAAAAATGGAAAAGACAAACAAAAAATTAGAAGATATCAACAAATCCCTTAAAGAAAACCAAGAAAAAGCAATCAAACAAGTAAAGGCAATGATTCAAGACATGAAATCTGAAATAGAGGCAAAAAAGAAAAAACAAACTAAGGGAATTCTGGAAATGGAAAAACTGGGTAAACAATCAGGAACCACAAATGCAAGCATACACAACAGAATACAAGAGGTGGAAGAGGGAATTTCAGGCATTGAAGATAACTTAGAGGAAATAGATTCATCGGTCAAAGAAAAATTTAAGTTTAACAAATCCTTAACACAAAACATGCAAGAAATCTGGG